TTAATAGCATGGAGAAAGTTTGTGGGAATGAGTTTTTGGTAAACACCCACCTATTCAAATTCGTATTCTCGCCCAGTTTACTGTTTTCGTAGATCCTTTATTTTGACTCCAATTGGTATTTTCTCGCCAATTGTCTCTATATATTTCAGGGTGTAATGTGATATGACCTCTGACTCAATTTCAAAACTAGAGTCCATTTATATTTTTTTTCTAAAGCAAATGTAGAATTCTAAGGTGAACACTCTATAGCTTTCTTTTCTTATATTCAAACCAAATTCCTAGATTGATCCTGAATGTTCAACTCCTTTTGCAACAACATGGTACTGCCTGTGCATTTAGATTTCAAGTCGATTTGGGTTTGATTTTTTTTTATAATGTTTGTAAATCAATTTAGCTATTGTCATTTACATTAACAAAATCAGTGAAACGAGATTTAGTATAATGAAAAATTTAGAATATCGGGTGAAGCTGGACAAATAAATTTAGAAAAAAAAAATGAAAACAAGCACATGCTGAGTTCTCGCATCAAACCATAAAGCTAGAGATTTCTGTAAGGAAAGTTCTCAGACATGACAACATGATCACACCACTCAACTTTCCCCAAAATCTTCCCACCTTGGCGTCTTTCCAACGCCATCTCGGCACACCAATTAGGTCTATGCCAAATATCTACGCCAAAAACTAAGCCAGTCTCCAACAGTCCAACTGTCACTCACAGTCTCTGACCACCATTCATGTCTCGTCTCAATAAGCAGCAATTTCTCCAAACCATTCCAATTACGTTCATTCTCCCGTCAATGATGTCTCCAAACCATTCCTGTGTATCATGGAAGAAAGTTTTGTTTCTGTCTATAATTTTTTATATTTTTGTATTAAACTAATTAATTGTCATTATAAATTTGGTATACTAAATCAATTTGTCATTGTTGTAAACAGCTCCTGTAAATAGGAGTATGTAAGAGTCATCAAAATCATCAAATATCAATTTCTTATCTTTTCTCCACACTCCTTATGTAGATTTTTTTCCCTCATTTTTGTGGACAAATGCCCAGAATGCTCCTCACTTTTGAATTTTATTCTATAATACTCTTCTCTGTAATATTAATTTTTTTTTAATTTGAAAGTTTAATGTAATGTCTAAAAAACCAAATAGAGTTTTCGTAATTACAGATCCAACCAGTAAATGGATCGGGTACTAGGCTTTCCGATGGGTTTAGGTCAGATCCGAGTAATTTGTGTAATTGTTTTTTTTTTGCGGCTTCTCTTTTTGAAAACGAAGAAATTAAAAAAAAAACGAGAGAAGAGGGGAGAAGAGAGGAAGAACCCTAAATCGGTCCAAATCGGAATCGGGCATTTCGAACCCCAATTGTCATCCTTCAGAACTCGATTGGCGGCGAATCATCCCCTACATTACTCGATCGGATGGCTCTGACGAAGACAACCTCCGCAAATCCTCCAACCTCCGCAAAACCTACATGTTTGGGTGAAGGAGGTCCACCGACCCTAAGTGCGTTACGCAAACTGGTGACGAGTCGGCAAGAAAAAGTGAAAGCCGACAACGATGATGACGATACAAATATGGAGGTATGATTCGTCCATATGGGGAGGATTATTGTGTTCATTAAGTAATACTGGACAAACTAAGTAAAATTGGAGTAACTAAGTAAAACTGGAGCAACTAAATGAAATTGGTACAACTAATGTAGTGAACGCCGAGGAAAAAAAATTTCCGAAAGACCAAGAGGAGGAGGAAGAAAAGGACCAAGAGATGGATGAGTCAAGACCAGAGGAGGAGAT